TGGCATGGTCTTCGCCGCGAACACGATTGAATCAGGGTCATTGAACTTCGGAGCGTTTCAGAGAAACGCATTACAGCTTGACTCAACCTCGAGTCTTACAATTACAGCCCCCACCGCCACGATCACCGTTTACACCAGCTCGGAGAAGAATGGTGCGGAATATGGCTTGTTCTTTTTCCTTATTCCGTGTATACTGTCCACACTGGCTTTATTTATTTAAACGAGGGAGCTACAAATTGGCTTGCTCGTGTCCGAGCGTGCCTCTGACTCGGGGCGACGTCCGAACCACTCGTCTTCCTGCATCCTTGAAATTTCAGGCTGACGTCGAGTCCTTGGCGGGCACCAACACAGGAAATCCAAGTGAGCGCTGAGCGGCCCTACGTCATGTGAGCGTCCAGGCTGCCATCTCGCGGAACGTTGCTCTGATGGTACGAAGCGAGAGTGTCGTGTGACGAAGGTGGGAAATCTTGCAAAGTATATAAGAGCATCGTGCCATCGCATGAGGGCGATTTCGTCTTTCTTTCCCTGACCAGCGATGCAGGCACCACTGAGAAGAGGCGATTGTTCAAGGCATCCCGTCAGCTGGTGAGTGTTTTGACTGCCAGTATCGTGTCATGTTTCGGCACATTCGCGAGATGAAACGCACTGGGCTCTGAGGGGATATTTTACCCTTCACCTTGATGTTATGCATTACATCCTACGGGATGGCGGCCTAGAAAACCGTTAACTGAACCTTTCCCTTCCTCTTCTTTCAGCTCTCTCTTCAGCCCCGTATACCTACTCACACAACTATTATTCACAGAAAGTTAATAAGTGCACTTTTGGCGTTGATTTAATGGGGTGGTTGACACAGTCTTTGGGGGCTCGAGATCGGGTTTATGACCTATGTTATATTCATGTCGATGAGAAGCAACTGCGTACCAGAGTAGACCGTATAGTTTTCATGGGACACACAATAACGATCTTGTCGTAACGAATACCGTTGAGATGACGGAATGAAACCTCGAGGGTGAAGTTCAAAACTTCGACGACCAGTTCAAGTTGTTCAAGAACTTACCGATCTCAGATCGGCACCTTCGGCATTTGCCGCAATTCTCATCCACTTTTCGGTGCACAAGGACAAGTTATTTGACCACCACCACCCGAAGCTTCCCCTGTTCTCAGGTAAATTCCGGTTTGGAAAGACTGTTCGAACGGTGCTGATTGCGATACAAAGTTCTAGGAGAACCTGAATTATGGCTGAGACGCACTCCGAGATCAACATGGACGAACTGGAGCAGTCCTTGGACGAAATCCGCAAGGGTATGTCTGCTGCTCGAGAAGTTGTCAAGTCTCTGAATGAACGGTATGGGGATCTACTTGATAGGGTATCAACATATCATGACGCTTTCAAAGAGTTCAGAACGGTGATCTAGACACCAAAGACGGCATCTCTCTTCTCTCCGTGAAAAACAATGTCATGGTGCAATATCTCCAATCCCTCGTACTCCTCTCTGCCCACAGGGCTGCAGGACACGGACTTTCAGAGCGCACACCTCCAGCCGAACCATGGGGAACCCCCAATAGAAGTCCGCGTGGCGCAGCTGCAGGGGACAGGGTGGACGCGATGATTGAAGGAAGGGTGGTTATGGAGAAAATAAGGCTGATGGAGGGGAAAATGAAGTATCAAATTGATAAGTTGACGAAGCTTGCTCAGGAGGAACCAGAGGCCGCCCAGGATGTTGCCAATGGTGCGTGTCGATGCCTTCCCTAATGCACAATGTTCCTGACGGAGTCTTCCTCTAGATCCTCTCGCCTTCCGTCCAAACCCTGAAGACCTCATGAATCAGGAAACTTCAGATGAGGATGATGATGGCGACGACGACGACGACAAGAGGACTTCCAAATCAAAGGACGGTATTTACCGACCACCAAAACTCGCTCCAATGCCATATATCGAGACGTCTGGGAAGGACAAGAGCAAATCCCGGCGTGGACCTCTTCCCTCTGCTCTCTCAAATTTGGCTCAGATGGATCTGTCAATGCCGCATATGGAATCCACCTCTGGTTTGGGATCGACACCAGCCCTCACGTCAAGACGAGCGAAGGAGCTGCAACGCATGACCGAGTTCGAAGAGGAGAATATGACGCGTCTCGTGATGAAGAAGAAGGAAGCGAAACGGCGGCGCGAGGACGAGGCCGACATTGCGCTGGGTGGGATTGGTGGTGGGGATCGCGGGCGCGGTCGGGGCGGTGGATTCGAGGATGAGTTCGGGGACATCATCAGAAGCGTTGGGAGGACCCGTGTTGGCGTGGTGGGCGATGGGTACGAGGAGCTCAGACAGAAGGGTAAGAAGGAGAGTGTGCTGGCGCGTGCGAGGTCGAGAGGAGATGATGATGGTTTGGATGGCGGTGAAGACGTTCCAAGGCAGAGGAAAAAGAGCAGATTTGACAACGCCGTCAAGTCTGTGAAAAGGAGGACTAACTCGAAGTTGCGGCGATGATGTTGTAGCCTTGTTTTCCATTATTTTATTGTCTTCAGTTCACCTTGAAACGCGTGCTTGAGACAGGGAGCTCAAGCCAGGAGACGCCCACATTCCATGATTACAATGGGCGTTCACGGCGGCCCTCTCTTCCGCTCCCAACTCTCATCTTCCCCCACCTCTCTCATCTAAATACTGCCATGCATATGTTCAGAAACACTCCAGGAGTGTCTCAGCTTCCTGCTGAGCTGATTACACTCATTCTGCAGGAGCTGTCGTACACAGATCTACTTCGCTGCGAGAGGGTAGGTCTTGTCCGAAATCACTGTTCTCGCCTGAGCTGAATGCGTCCGTGAAAGGTCTCTAAACACTACAGAAAGCTCATACGTGGAACCTCGGTGCTGCAGTACAAGATCGAGCTTGCACAGAGTGGTATGGACGACATACCCTCCAACGGTCTCAGCACCGCCACCAAGCGAGAAATCCTCGCCAGACATACGAACGCGACGCAAACGTGGCCAGACCATATGGTTACAAAACAAACCATACCACTTCTTGAGGGACCGCTGTGGGAGCTGTGCGGAGGAGTTCTTGCGCAAAGTGACGGAAGACGGGATCTGGACTTCTGGCAGCTACCTTCTGCGATTCGAGGGATCACCCCGAGGAAGTGGGGAGTGGATGTGGAGTTTGACATAGCGGATTTTACGGTGGACCCTTCGCAGGATCTGCTCGTTGCAATGGAAGTGCAGAGTCCGACGTGAGTCGCTACATTGTCTCCCCGTCTTGTCTGCTTATTGTATTGTTAGGTGTTTTGCCCACTTGCTGTCGCTGAACACCGGAAAACCACACGACGGTGCTGCAGAAAAATCGCTGTCGTTCCCTCTTCCGCCCTTCGACACCCCAAATCGATCATACCATATCCGCGTTTGCGGAGACTTTGTCGGCATCATCATTCGTGTATATGGCCTCATGTCTGACGAACCGCACACGGTATTGGGCATCTCAAACTGGAAAACCGGGGAAACGAAGCTTGTGAGTACACCAACGCCTGGACTATTGTTTTCAGCTGACGTGCCTGGCAGTTAACCTCGTTTTGGGGGATAAGGTCCTTCGCGTTCTTGGACGATCGACATGCAGTGATTCTACGCGGTGTCCCCCGAGTGCCTTCTCCCGACGTTCCCGGCCAGGAAAGTGCATCTAACGTCGTCGTTTCCGTGATTGACTTCCGGAAGGCAGTCCCACCCAATGCAATGTCTGAAGCACCTCTGTGCCCATGTGTCACCCTTAACTTACCCACCGTCGCCGACCGGTGGGAAGTCTGGCATGCCGAAGTTGTCTGTGATCCTTCGCCGGCTTGCCCACCACCCAACGGTCCCGTCGCGTCGGGGGGCAGCTCGGTTCCCCCGTTCCGAGTGACGCATACAGACAGGATAGTGGTCATCCGTATCAATGGCGTAGACACGCTCTTTGAACAAGGCGACTCCATCGATATCTTTGTCCATGCGTCCTCGCTAATAGGGCTCCTCTGTGCTCATCTCAGCCCATCCTCGCTCCAAGTGTCTCCAGCTCCCTCGCCCGCGTCTTCTCCGTTGTCTGTGGGATCGACGCTTCCTCAAGTCGGCAGGCCGCCGAGGAGCAAACAACCTCAACGCGTTCTCCGGATACCAGCTCCTGCTCTAAAGCTGAGTAGCTACGACGAGAACGGCTTCGTCATCTGGGACTCGTGGGGTGTCAACTTCACCCGAGTATTGCCTGCATCCGTCCCCGCATGTGTATGGTGCTATCCAGCCTACGGGATGAAATTCGTCGGTCAGACATGTGGCTATGTGACCATCCTTGACTTCAACCCTATTGCCGTGCGGAGGAACCTCGCCAGGAGGGTAGCGGGAGAGACAGGGATATCTGAAGACGAGTTCGAGGATGAGTCCTGGAGCGGTGGTAAGGCGTCGAAGGTGGAGCCAGATGAATGCGAGTTGTTCACGAAGGTCAGCGCGTACTCGAGGCCGTTTTTCGCAGGGACTGTCCGGTCGGCTCTGCCGTATTGCAGATATAAAACAAACATCAAGATAGCTGCAGGTCAGTTCGTCATGATGAACGAGGACTCCGTGCTACTTGTAAAGGTGCGTCTTCCAAGTCAACTGACCTCCTTGCCTATGGGCTGATGGTTTCGTTTGCAGGAGCTCAAGAAAGAGTTCAAAATCTCATCCCTATAAGAGAACTAGTCTTCCGTATCCCCCCTGCAGTGTTCTTGAGGATGTTTTCTTTACAACCTATCATGTATTCTGTACCTCCTACATAGTCTGTTGCCCAACCTACCGTAACTTGCTGTACATTCGGATACTATTCACAAATCAAAGAATTCTAAGTGTTATACACGCTCCTCCTTGGCTGAACAGGCTCTTGCATCGTCCCGACTGCTGTTCCCTTCGACCGATATCTCACTACAGCCTCCGTAAAAACATGAGGGTCAAAACAACTGTCGACGTTCTCTCCAGGACAACAAAAAGTTTTCTCGGATCCGTAACGTCTTTGGCTGAGTCCTTCGAGCCGGGATCGAACCAGCGGCCTCAAGATGAAGATGGGCGATTGCAGGTAACCAATTACAGTCTTGCGCTCTTCCAGCTGAGCTATCGAAGGATGTTAAGAAACCGTTTTGTGAAGAGCTTGGTTTTGAGGAAAATTTTAGCACGTGCATTCGCTTATGCGATGTGATACACTTGCCTTTTATATACAACGTCACATGATATTGTTGATCCTCCAAGTTGCCCAATGCCCAGAGTTGAGGAATCCAGGAAGTGATGTGCAAGACGACCAGGATAGTGCGGTTGAGGCCTCAGCCGCGTTCCTGGTAACAGTGGCTGGATAAATGTACTTACTGGACGTTCGAATCACCTTCCCAAATCCCAACTTTCAGCTGAGAGTCCAGGTCATTGGACCAACTTGAAGTCTCCTCTGCAGCACCGGTCACTACCGCTGCAAGATCCGCTGCCGCAGCTGTGAAGAGTTCGGATCTTGGGTTAACGAAAAAAAAAACAAGCCACGATCACCAGCTGAGGACCCCATCGGGCTCTACGGGTAGGGGGGGACAGACCAAGTGCAGTGCGCGAATAGACCGGGCAGGCTAGCATCGTCAGTTTAGAGCAAGAGTGACAGATGAAAGGCGTAAGTGGTGCAAATGCGGGTGTGTGATTGCCTGGGTCCACTGTTACCAAGTGATTGGGCGTTGTAGTTTGTGGTGTCCAAGGAGCGTTTGCAGACTGGCGTTGTTGGGGTGGCTCGGTGGCTCGGTCTTGGCTCGTGTGATGCTCGCACGATCAGCAGGGGGTTATTGCACGGTAGCGTTCTGGTCGGACACCTCGGAAAGGTACCGCGGTGCATGTGAATAAGGAGCGAAGTGTCCGTGTAGAAGTAATCATACTCAGTTCATTGGGATAATCCCTCGGAGAAACATATGCCTGAACAAGCCACGAATCTTCTGTATGTTCTTCGCGCCGTGCGTCCTTTGATAGATATGACTGAGCTGGTTGAGGCTGGATGACAATGGTTCAGATTAGCGAGTTCTATTTGACGAGGTGCAGTGAGCGTGAGGCTTAGTAGAAGATTAGAAGCATTGGATGGGAAGGTCGCAGCTCAACTGACTCAGCGTGCGTTCGACGGCGAGACGGTGCTCGGAACTATCAAAAGATCTCTCTCGGCTTGCCACGCTTGACCTGCTGTTAGACAATTGTTCAATCCAATAAATTCACCTTTTACCGTCTGTCGCAGTCTCCGGAACTGATCCATAATTGACAAAGCAGACGTTGAGTGTGCACCGTCTGTTTCTAGACGGTGCGGTTTGAAACTTTGCCTTTCTAACTCTCGGATTCAGTCCTATAAATGGCGCGGAATGAACAATTATGAAGAATGAGCAGTAAAAATAGAACACACCGAGGTTCATCTTTGAAAGACAGCACTGATGTCCGAGTATCCTCCTGCAATCACGTTGTTTGTAGCAAGGGAGGGCAACACGGCTACGACTAACCAAAAAGACGTAGTGGTGGAGAGAAATGAGCTTGGCGGTCTCAGATGAGAGGGTGGCTTGGACCGCTTGACGCGCTGATTGTATTCAGCGGGATCACTCAGGACCGAGGCTCAGATAGGGACTCGCATTAACAAGTGAACCCCCCAAAAGTCGACGCCCGGAGTACCAGCCAGAAGGACCTGGAAGGAGAAGCGGTCATGAGATACGTACGAGAAGCAAGAGGAGGTGCAAAGGCGTTGACAGCCACGTCAATTACCAGAAAGTTCCGGAGTAGGGCAGCGCATGACGGACTGTACCAAGCCATATACCGTCACAACCATGCAGAAGCCCCTGGAAATCCGCACCCACAGAAAGGCATATTCCTCGCCCCAGGAGGTGTTCGCACAGATAGCCGCCACGATGGATAATATAATCATGTCGGGAATGATCTGCCTGCACGATTCATCTATGATATCTGGGATGTCAGATGTTGTTCAGTACCGAACTTGCTAGAGGGACAATTCAATGAAGAAGCGGGCCACGTACCTCTCGGAAGCGCGTCTCGTGTGGGGTTTCCAGAACCGTGAACCGACTCGTTATGGGTACGAGGTGGGAATGTATGGTTGGTCGTCATTCATACCAGGATGACCGGGGTCCACTGCCGCCCTCTTTAGGCCACAGGGTACGCCCATCGATTGCCGTCCGGATATGAAGGAAAAGGTGAGGCTTGTTTCGAGTTGAATATACGACTGCGGGGGAAACGGTGAGGAATGCACTCATTGAATGGGTTTGCACGGGTCGCATACCTCCGTCGAGTATGTGAACGAGCTGCGGGGATCACGCCCTCCCATCTCCTATTTTGGCGACAGAGTCTTCCACGCTGCATCAGTAATATCGAAGAAGACAAGGCGGACTACACACCATAGTCAGCCCTTTGACACAATCTGTGGAAAACGCCTGTCTCCTGGTATATGCACTCCGTCACGTTTCGTTCGCCCTGCCCTTAGCCCTCGTTTACTACGCGACTAGATGTGAAAAGTGAGTCTAACGCCACAAGAACCAGCAGGTGTGTCAGCGAACTTCTATGAAATGACGCAGATCCTCACGAATACCTACGTCAGCCAGAAGGTGATTGCGCGGTTGGGCGCAGTATTAGGGACAATCACTGGCGCGTGATGTACAAAGATTCAGTTGTGCTTTGCCTGTAATCCTATATAACGCCTATCATTGTGGAGAGATAGAGGCTGGAGTCAATAGCGATCGTACGTACAAATTATCCTCTTGCCTACTCGTGAGCAATTGAGGACTCGAAGGAGAACGTCAGCGATAGAACGCTAGAGAGAACGAAAGAATGCGACGGTGAGAATATGAGGAGGAGCAACGCCTGATCACGGCACGAATACGCAATGTGGGCGCGTCCCCTCGAGCCTCGAGGACGTGAAGATAGCACAGTGATGAAATAACCGGCAGGGTCCTGAACATCCAGCCGTGATATTGAATCAGTTCCTTAGTGTGCTGCGGTGATATACAACGTGAGGATAGAGGCTTACTGTGACTTGTGAACGCCAAATCTATGGCCACACGGAATGTGGGCGGAAGATGTTGATTACAAGGGGTCAAAGGCCCACTTGATGAACTGGTCAACACTTGCTGATAAGTATGTAGCAGGTAGGGCAGAGTCCAGATGGTATCTTTGGGCGTTGTTTTGGAGGTGCGGACCCACAGCGGCCGTAGCCGCAGGGTTGTGAAAGTCCCCACGCTCTTCAGTATCACCAACGTGTGTGAGGGCACACACCGAACATACACCTCCCGGTCCAGAACAGATGATCGTCGGTCGTCTGGGAACGAGCGAAAGCTAGAGATCGAGACGAAAATAGATGCATGGCCTATCTCACTTGAAATCTGCGAACGTGAAATGGCATCACACCGAGACCTTTGTGGCGCTGAGCATGTATTCAGGCGACTTACTCGGAACAGGCGGCTAGAAATTGTCAAGGGACTCGGATGATGGTGGGATTTGTCTCTGGTATGTGGTGCGATGGCCGCATACAAAGCACGGCAACTGCAACGACCAAGAGGACCGTGCCGGCTCTTGGTCAAGTTTGTACCACTCTGTGTGTTGCAGTAGTCTGGGAAGCAGAGAAAATTTGAGCACCAATGAGAAAGGTAGCGAGCTCGGAACCACCGCTTACAAAGGTTCATACGAGATTTGCCCGAGACCTCTCCTCGGCTTTGGCATGCATTGACAAGTACAGGGAAGCAGCAGAACTCGTCGCTCGTCACCGCTCCGAGCTGCGAAAGACGGAGAACTGTGCTTATTTGAACCGCGAGTGAGAGCTGCTGCATCGTTGAATAAGATCAGTAGATGGAATGAAATCGGGGAGATGTCGAATGCTCACCAGTACTTGTGTTCTCTGCTCTGCAAGCTAAAAGTTAGTCCGATAGCTCGTACAAAAGGGCCCGCACGTTGGTGGTTGGACGAGATAAGTCAATTTTGCAGACGTATCGCCGAAAGGCAACGTCAAGGTTCTGCCAGCGCGACAGGGTGTCAATCTTGAGATGATCACAAAGCAGTGATCCCTAGCGTATTGGAGGACATTTGTGAGAGATAACCGGAGTGTTTTTTCAAACGTGCTCGTGTGATGGAGGACTCTGCGATGATTTACTTGAAACAGACGATCTGCCTTGGATTTGTGAAAGGAACAGTCAACTTTAGCAGTTGTGGAGTCCACTTCGGGCGCTGCCGAGCGGTTCTGGGGGCCACGCCCAGCAGCCTCCGCCACACTGGAAACATCTTGCCTTATATGGCCATTACCGCCAGCCCTTCACTGTGGCGACTCTGCCATGTTTTTCGTTCCTGGTCCAATTGGACCTACAACTATTTGTTGTACACAACTCCTGCACGCCCAGGATTCATTCTTCAATAACTCTTCCAAGTAAGTCAATGTCTCCTTCCAGCGCGCCACGTAGCCTTCTTTATCACTGACAGGCATTCCGGTATCAATCGTAGACATCTCAGGGAAAGTGCGTTCTCGTTATCTCTTGTTTCATTTGAGACTCATTATCTGCGTCTCTGTGGTTCGGATTTGAAACCAAGCTCTCCCACCGCTGGGCTTTGATCCTGCTGATGAGTGGCAACTTATCATGAGTGCGGTGGTGTTTCATTCACGAAACAGCTTTGCATAAACGGGTACGCCTCTCCTTGCTCATGAGAGACATCACATAACCTCTCTTCGTAGACATATGGCATATGACGAGTCCTCCGTGCCGTCTGCGCAGGGATGAGCCCTATCATCCCATCCAACAGCCACCGACAGCGGATATCATTCCCGCTGACACGAGCCCGTCCACCCAGCCCACAGCTCGATAAGCAATCCTCATTCGCCGGGCGCACTCTCTCGTTTTCCCTCGCCACTTCTCTCACCGCAAACAGCAACGTGGGGTCCCTGGTCATCTCCGAAGGTTACACTCATCCCTGTTAATTCCCGCTCGTTCCCGAGCACACCCTGTCAGTAGCTCCTCTTTGTTGGGCACCAGCCTTTGTCTCTTTGTCTGACAGAGCGGACTTGCCGGACTCGGAGTTGTATCAGCAGGGCGACAACAACGAAACAAGGTTTACGTCGTCCTGGAAGGTGAG